CCCCCCCCCCCCCCTCCCTCCTTTTTTGCAGTGCTTACCACCACCATCGACAACACTGGCAACGACGAAGTGGGTCTAATATATGGGCATCAACAACAATGGCACTGGCAGTGACGAAGTGGGTATCATAGTGCTTGAATGGATCCTGGGGTGGGTTTATAGTCTATAGACACCGAAGACACAGTAAAAGTTTTTGGCCTCAATCCCACGTCGACAAATTGAGACCTCCCATGCCTATAAAATCTTTAGTCATTAATACTCTGTTTGGTACGATGAAAAAGTGGGAGAATAAAAAGTTGGAAGGATGAAAAATTAGGTGATAAATAAAACATCATTAACTTTTTTTCTAATTCACCAAAGTCAATCCCTTCAAAATCGGAAAGAAAGTGGATGAAAAATTAATTATTTGCGTTGAGATGTATTTTATTTGTCTATATATTTTTTTATATATACATATATTATTTATACATTAACTTCATATAAAAATATAATAGTAAAATATGTATATGTATATGTATGTATGTGTATATATATATATATTAAAAAATTTTAAAAATAAAAATNTATATATATATATATTAAAAAAATTTAAAAATAAAAATAAAAATTTTGAATTAAAAAAAAATATTTTTTCCATTTTAACTAAGGGTGAAAATTTTCGACTGAACACGATGACATGACTCGAACTAGATACGAAAATAAACAGGTCAACTCACAACTCGACACGACATAATTAGTTAAACAAGTTAAGTTAGGTTTGATTAATATTCGACACAAACTTGTAATGACTTGACACAAATCTGATACGACTTGACTCGATTGTCACCCTTAATCTTAGTCAACGCAAAAAAAAAATAGTCATTTTTATTTTTCATCCATCCAACCAAATACAAAGGAAGGAAAATGTATATTTTCTACTTTCTATCATTAAAGGATAAAAAGTGTATCCCTCATATTTTCTATCCTTTCTACTTTCTATCCCCCTACCAAACGGAGCATACCTTTTCATTTGCTTTTGCAAGTGGCAGCCAATTGAAAATTTTTTAATTAAGAGAGTACAATTGGTCAGGTAGGTAATGGAGTTAAAAATTTTAATATGATAGTTTTTTTGTTGCGGGTTAAAATTTTAATAGAATAATTTTTAATAAAATTAAACGGGTTAAACGAGTCATGTCGTATTATCTGTTTATCGTGTTCGTGTTTAAATTTTTTTACTCGTTTATTAAATATGTCGTGTACAAATTTACGTATTTTTCACCTATTTAACTCGACACATGTGACACTCATATCGGAGGCATCCAATGCTGCATCATGTTTCTGTTTACACATACTAGTTGTGTCCGTGGAAGCTGTTAACCGGCCCAAAATAGATCTGAAATTTAATAGTTGGCCCACTTGAACTTGAATTTGAGCCTGAGCTCAAATTCAATATTTTTTAAGGGAGAGTTTAGACTTGTCTTTAAACTCATTTTTCNTTGCTTTAATTTTTGAGACCGGAAATTTGGAGAAGTTCTGTGGTGAAGTTAAAGTATCTGGTGACATCTCCATTACTGAAGGAAACAATTATCGGGAATTTGTACATATCCAGGGGTTGAGGGGAAAAATCCTAAATCAAGTGAGAAACCTTGCTGCGGAGGCAGGTGGTAAAGGTTCTGCTAAGAAAGATCTTAACAGCCAGCGGAACTCATTTAGAGATATTCTGGAATCTCTTGAGGTACTTCATCAGTTTCTGAACAGGGTCTGTCCTTGTATGTTAGCTTGTATACTGATCCTTATTTAAATGAACGACAGGATGGCTATAGTCCAGAAACTTCAACGAAGATTGGTGGAGAGTGCCTGAACATAGCAACGTGGGCTCAATTGATACAGGTTCCTCCTCGTCTTCCTTTTGATTTTTTATTGTGGATGCCCCCACGTATTCAATGTTTTCCTAATCTCAGCTTCTTCACAGTTGAACTTTCTGAAGCGCTTTCTTGGGGGCGGATATGTTAAGCACATGCAGGTTCTTTTTCTTGTCCATATCTTCTTTGGGCTAAAAGGTCCTTGTTCATTTGGTGTATGTTCTCGCCATCTCAATTGCTCTTTTCTTTTTGTTTGGATCCAAATAGGAAAATGAATTTCTTCACAATGTATTTGGTTTCACACCAAAGACGAAGCTTCTTTCGAGGAGTGAGCATCATATATCTGCTCTTGAGAAGGTTAGTTTGCACCATTCCCACTGCAATCTTTTTATTGTTCATACCTATAAATCTGTTGCAGAGTTTGTTGTGCTGATAAATAGGTATTTTCATCATTAAAACATCTGTATGTATTTCTTTTGTGTCATGATGTGCTATGAGGACATTCCGACATTGTAATGCTTGCCCTTGTTACAGGTGGATTCATTAACCGAGATGTTGTTCATATGTGGAGATCTACTAATGTAGTTACTATCGCTGTTTAGTTTAATTTGGTTCAAGGTAGTGTGCATGTAACGCACACAATGCTGGTTTGCATCTCACAGTGGAATATTGCTTTTACTTAGCAAATGAGATTTGTCTTGGCATGCTTATACAACTTTGAATGTGAGGTCGCTTAGTTATTTGATGGGCTTCTGAATATACATGGCAGTTCTATTCTCGTGCTTTATCAGTATAAATATTAGCGCCGAAAGCATATTCAAGATAATGTGAGCGAAGAACCTTAATTCTCTCTTTATGGATAGTATTCTTCTTTGGGTTCTGTATGCTTTGTTGTTGGCCAGTTGCTTTGGGTATGTGTTTGCCATTCTCTGTGTATTTATATCAGGTTGAGACTTCTTTAGATGAGCTTCCACGTGGTTTTGCTTGCTAGCTTCTGCTAAGCCGCCTCCTCCCCTCTTCCCCTCCTCTCACACAGACACGTAAATGTAATTAATAATCTTTTTATGCAGAGGATGTACAAGTCACCAAACTCAGTTCTTAATAAGGCAAGGACCCAGTTGTTGAACAAGCAGCGAATGTTGTCCCAGGTAATTTCTTTTCAGTAGATGGTGGTCAGTGGTCACTTCTTCCTTTGCCTGCTGTTTAGTTGCATATTGAGTTGTAAATTCTAATAAGAGTAGGAGTATTAAGATGGTTTAGACCAAGGATCAAACTTTGTCATGCTTCTGCCTCTACTACATTTAGACACACTTAGACAGCTAGGATTTAGGATGCTCTTTGCGCTGGAGTGACTNTTCTTCCTTTGCCTGCTGTTTAGTTGCATATTGAGTTGTAAATTCTAATAAGAGTAGGAGTATTAAGATGGTTTAGACCAAGGATCAAACTTTGTCATGCTTCTGCCTCTACCACATTTAGACACCCTTAGACAGCTAGGATTTAGGATGCTCTTTGCACTGGAGTGACCGGTAACCTTTACATTGGCTGGGCTCAAATTGCCCGTAACTGGTTTGTCAAGCCTTAGGTCTTGGCTCAAAGTAAATGTTGCTTTCTCAACTTGTATACCCTGGTACCTGTCATTGTTTGCTGTTAACTAGCATTTGA